TTATTTCGATGCGGATGAATAAGAGATGATCACAGATGCGTTTAGCTTCGCTTTGGCGAAGCTTAGACGTAAGTGTAGTATCCTCTGGGTAGCTTCCAGCTTAGACACCGAGCATTAGAACAACCGACGTTGGGCAACAATTAAGTAGATCAGACGCTGGTAATATCCCTCTGGTACTGCTGCCAAGTATCCGAATTAGGAGTTCCATTATATCGAATCTGTGCCGTCGACTGTCGATTTAGAATAGATGGATCGTAATTGTATGCGCAGGTTGCATTTGACAAACGGTCAATACGCGTTTCCATCGTAGAAAAGTAATTTTTAAAGAGAAACGAACGAGAAGGTTTGCAAGTTCCAAAAGCTTTAATTTCTCAAATTTTCCTGGGCAATTATAAATTATATATAATATAAAAATTTAGTAACCGCGAGTATGATAAATTTCTTTCTAATGATAATAGAAAAATAATCGAGGACCCAGTTACGTAAAGCGTTTTCTACTCGAGTCCATTTCGCAGATCGGACATAGTAAGCGTGGTTCAATTTACTGCTTTACGATCTTCGGTTCTTGGGGTTTTGGTTGCCTGACTTTAGGTTACGGTTGGTATGCAACTAACACCGAACAGCAGTGACTGACTGTTTCTACGGGTCATCCGGTTTTAATTAGAAGCTTGACTTCCGCTTACACGCGGTTTATCCGATACTTCGTGCTCTGTTCCCCATTCCTATTCTCCCATTATTCGTAATCTAAAGCCTTTATTGCAGGACACAGGTCGAAACAAACGAAGATGCTCGATGCCGGCAGATAGAATCGATACTGGAGAATCTTTCCTTATAAATTTTATTACAACCTTAATATATTATCAATTTGCGTACGACGCTCGCTCGCAGTCAGCAGACGTACTTATTTATCTTAAAATTATATTCAGTGCATTTGTCAAATACTATATGAATATGAAAATCCGTCAGCTAGTTCTCGCTTCAAATGGAACTTTGAAAGTGAAATCACAACCGATGCGCGTTGGCGATGTTTCGTGTGTTCCCACGCGGAAAATCGCTGCCGATATAAAAGAATAGACACTGCTCGAAGGCAGACGCTACTGGAAGTTCAATGATTGCCACGTCTGATACCTGTTCCACATAAAGTTAGGTGTCTCCACGCCACCTTGTTTCTCGTTTCTTTTACACAGGAAACTTACAGATTTCTGATGCAAACGTGCACATGTTCTTTCTCGTTTCGGTATTTCCAGTTTTGAAATCTTCCCCGTTGCAAAAATAATCTTCAAATATTCTTCGAATTTGTACTTAATGCACGTCGATGTGTGTCACTCATACCTCATTAAAAGAAGTAATCTGTGATGGGCTTTTGTTTCTTTCAAAGATGAATGCAATCAAGCAATTGGTTTCACAGGCACGGCCCGATCGGGTAAAACCCCATTCTCGGTGGTATTAGAGTTTTATCCATTTGTTCAGCGATTTAGAAGGGTTGTTCGTACTCTGAACAATGTGTACACGTGTATGCGTACTTCGTCGAGAACAATTAGAAAATTGCTTCGTTCATATCATTTAATGCATATCCTCTTGATTTTTTCAAAGAACTTTTTGTTCTACGGGCTACAATCCGGGCTACAAATCCTTCAAATGGACGAACGCCCGGATCTTTTCACCGTCAAACTGGACGAAATGCTTTTTTCCCCGGTTTCAGAGATAACATCAAATTTATCCCCGGAAAACATGTTAATTTGAACCGCGTTTCTGCCTGACATGAAACAGGAATTTAACGGATGCTTAACTTCGGGTAAATATTTGTTGCATTCAAGAGCAATCGAAATTAATATCGCGATTCGTTAATGATTATTTCGTAATTCCTCCGTCCGTTCATTTCATCGTTCGGCTATGTGTGTTGGTATACGTTTCCCCGTGTAAAACGCAAATTAATACACGGTTTCGGTCGGTACAAGCAACGTAGTACAAGCAAATAATCCGAGAGCAGGTCGAGCACATATTTTGCATAATTTAGGGCGGACGTATTTTTAATTCAATTCTGTTAGAATATTTCACTTTTCCTTATTCTCTTCACGCAATTTCCGTCTTAATCATCATTAAAATGCGGCGAAGAATGTTTATTGTTGTGATTTTGTTTATTTAATATTTCGTCAGTCAAGTAATGTAGCATGGCCTGGCGAGATGTGTCCGTTGTTTAAAATTGAAATTACCTGGAATCTCCATTACAAAGAATTAGGAGGGAACAGTGGACGACGAGTATGATTGATGCATGGGCGTGGATGGTCTCGGATTACTGATGCTTGAGTGAATTGTCATTGCTACTAGCGTCGTATTCTCGCATGATAAACCAAGTCTCAAGCATCGCAAATATTTGTGATAGTCTCTCTCACCGGCTGTACATAAATTGCCGAAATTACATTGCGCTCAACATGGTGGGATTTCGTTCGCCAAAACACATCTTAAAAAGAGAATCATTTAATATCGTAAAAGATATGTTATTTAATTTTATTATTAGTTTTTGTTCAAGGATCTTTAAGACTCATTTAAAGTTAAAAACTGCAACATTAAATTACCTTTTTATATCATCATGAACATCACATTTAAATTCGTTTTTCATTATCATTACATTCACAGTTGATCAAAGTTCGCCACATTTTCTTACACTTTCTTCGCTTGATGTTTGTTCTCAACTAACGCGGACCCATGCGAAAAAAGGAAAAAAGGCAAGAAGGGTGTCGCAATCTGGAGGTTTTAGTTTCAGGATAGGCGGCGACGATTCGGTCGTCACGAAGGGTGTACGCTTTACTTTCGATCCGTAACGTGGGACTGGATGCCCGTCGCGGTAGTTCGTAGATAACGCACGTTCAGTCCCATTTGAGCCTAGGAGGGCTGTCTCTTTATTCGATATTCTGCTTGGCTGACTTATTCGGCCTTCTGTGCACATATAGACGCGCATGGCCTTTCCCTTCAAACCGAATTCGTGCAAATAATGACATTAGCAGTATTAACTCTGGTATCGTCGACAGATTTTTATTCCGTCGAAACAACACTGTGTATTTTTCCGATTGTAAAACTCTGAAGTTTTAATCCATTAAATGATACTTCAATTTCGTATATTTACTGATTCAAAAGTGAAAAAGGTTAATTCAATTACATACCTGCATTGCGTTAGATTTTACGTTAGTATTTGCATTGGGGAACTTTATTTTTATTCGCATATTTTTGATTTCTACGAAAATTTTAAATTGCACGTCGTTTTTATCTCTCGCATTGTAAATTCATAATTTGTGTTGCACGGTTGAAATTTCTTTAATATTTTCATCCGAGCAGTGTTTCCGAAATATTTCGCATTCAGGGAATACGCTGCAGGGTAGATATCT